TTTGTGTGTGTGTGAGGGACAGCATGAGGGTACACAGAGAGAAACGGAAGTGGAAAGGACATTTCATTTAACTATTTAAGTTTAAAATAAAATAAACATATTAAATTTAAAATAAATAATAATATAATTGCTAATAATTTAAAAAATACACCTCCCATTTATAAATTATGTTTATAAATAAATGTATGTATAAACAAAGAAAAATTCCACAGGTTATTTCAACAAGGTACATACTTCAAACTATACTTAATGCTTAATGACTACAAATAATTTTTTTAGTATTTGTTATTACCACCTTTATTGTACACAACCATTAAGTCCTTTTGGCATTGAATCCACCAACTTTTAAGAGGTTTCTGGCCTATTTTTGTCCACTCCTCCGCCGATTCCTTTTTCAGGTCCTTTTTGTTGAATATTTTCCGTTTTCGGGTGTTTTTCTCCAAAATTCCAAACGGAAGATCTAAGATAGGACGAACTAGAGAAGTATATAGAGATTTGGTCCCTATCCTATTGGAAACCAACTGGATATCGGACAGACGATTCCAATAAGTAGGATGTTCCGACAATGGAGGAATGTAGGAACCAGTGATGAAAATGAAGCTATCATTCCACATCTTTGCATTCCTCTAAAGTTATAAGTTCGGAGAGTGGAATCAACCGCTATGAGCACGCCTCCTATACGTCTGATAGGACGATCTAGGAAATATATTGTAAACAAATCTGGAAAATGATCAGTAAAAAGCTTAAAAGGCTGATTATCTATTCTGCTTATATATGTATATTAGAGTAGTCTCCTTAGGGAGACTTTCGGTGCTCGTCGTCACTTTGTGAACGGGTCTAAAGAAGATAAAATAAAAATATATTTGCACAAGCCGCCAAAAAGTATACAATGAAATCCAGTATTATAGAAATGAATATTCAAAAAATTAAGGATGATTGAAAATAAAATACAAATTGTAACTTTTGCGATATTTCGCTTAAAACATTGATGCAGAATTATAATATTTATATTTAGACCATATAATAACATTACTGATAGTAAAGGGAACACAAAAAACATATACGTTAAATTGTAAAACAAAACATTTTTAGTTGTAAAAAAGTAAAAACAAAAAACATTTTAAAAAGAAAAGATTTTTTCTCAATATAAATACGTATCTAAATACAACCATATACTTATGTATGTAAAAGAACGTAACAACGCCAATAAAACACAATTTTTAAATTGCTCCTCTTTCTACTAAATTACCACTGAGGGAACCTTTACTTTAACTGAGAATTATGGCGAATGCTTTGTTTGTCTATGGAGTGTCAGTTAAAATCACGGAGTTCTTACGTCTTACTAACCGAACTAATGTCATCAAAAATTGTCCTCGCCTTTCTCATTGGGTTTTGCGTTGTCCTGAAACTCGCCCATGCCTAAGCTCCTGGATGCTGTCATGTGTTGATTTTTATTCGAGTTTCTCTCCTGTATATAGAGAGAATTGAATCAGGTCGTGTGCAACATACAGGTCTTAACGGCAGAAATCGCTGAAATGGCGAGGGATTAGAAGGTCCCCAGAAGATTAAACTGGAAGAGAAAGCCCCAAAGAATCCTGATTGCCCCCAGGTCCTCCTGGCCCACCACGACCTCCAGGAGATTCGCCTTCAGGCACGACAAGCATAGCGGTTCTTGCCGGGAAAACAAGGGATCGTAAAATACCAAATCAGTAAGGCGTCTTCTATTTCAAAATCGGATGTGCATGGTTTGCAGAGGGTTCAGTCAGAAATAAAAAATAAATAAAAAGTAAGTGTTTTAAATTTTCTAAAATACTGAAACATGAACTAACAATCTATAAAATATCTTTGTATATTGACCTTGTGTTGTTGTCAAAATAAATTTATTAAATGAATACAATGATGATAATAGAATTATAACAATAAAAAATTTTCAAAGGTAAATTTACAATTAAATGGTCAACAAGAATATAATACAATTTTATAAACTGTATATTTTAGTTAATTCCTCATAATTACAATAAATTCGGTAATAAAATTGGCCCATATAATTATTGTAGTTAGCGTTTAAAGATTCTAAAAAGATTAATGTAAAAAGCTTTGATTTTAATTTAATTTTAACTTTATCGTTTTAGTTTTATTTTGTGGTATTAGTTTTTATAGCCGTTAGAAAGTTTTGACAATTTTTTGATTTGTCCAGATAATAATAACCCTGCTATCATTATAAGTTCTTCAAAATTAAAAGGAAAGTATATGAAATTCATTTCTTTGGAAATTTTGAATTGACTGGAGGTCAGGAGCTTTATCAGATCAGTTCCGCGAATTAAAATAAAATAAACCTATACAAAATTTATGTTTGGTTTAACGAAATGATTTATTTAATAATATGGCAAGGGTAACTTGGACACTTTTTTTTTGACACTTTGACCTACGCTTTTCGCGAAATTATAATACTTTAAAGAAAACTAATCATTCTTTGTTCTAAATGTAACTGCAACAGTTTATATTTTGAACGATTTTTAATTTATTTAATATTTAGTTATTTTAGAACTTTTGTCAGAAATTTTTAATTTGTTACTACGGCGCTTGAAGAAACAAAAACATTGAAAACTTGTTAAAAACTTGCTGCAAACCCAGAGCATATCCTTAAACAACAACATGCATAACGAAATTATTAACCAATCAAAGTAAAAAGGTAACTTAAGTTGCTACTTTTTGCGCACTGATTAAATGCATAAATTATGCATTTTTATTTTAAAACAAACGTCCTTCTTAATAACATTAAATTAAATGTAACATAAAAGGTAGCTAGCATCGAAACCAGATTTTTAAATTGTATATAATAACTACATATCAGTGTTTAAATATCTAATAATAAAACAAATTATTAGATATGTATATGTAGATTAACGTGGAACTAATTTTAACTTTTATTTAATTATTCTATACTTATTATATTTACGGTTAGTCCGACATTTTCGATTTGCATAGAACTAAAACCGAAATTCTTAAATAATTAAAATTGATTATATATCTGAGTAGTTGAAAATATATTGAAAACAGGTAAAGTTATACTTTTTCTAAAAATGTTCTGATCATTCCTAAGGCATTTTTATGATACAGTCGTTTGATCTGGGCCGTCCCGATTTATATACAAATAATAATATAAAAAAGACTAAAAAAAAGACAAGGTTTCATTCAGATAGCTTTAAACAAAGGGACTAGTTTGCAGACAGAGATACATTTTCTATAGCCGGAAATTAATTTATACTTGTTCCTCTGCTTATCCCATCATTCCTAGTTTCTAACATTGTATGTAATTTAATCCTTTTTAATTTTTCGCAGAGTTCTTTTAACTAATTTTGAATTGAGCAATCTCTCCTTTGAATATTTTATATCCTTGAATGTTTTGAAGCGAATAAACTTTTTTTTTTTTTTTTTTAATATTTAAGGACCAATTATCACTGTTTTATAGGTGAACGAGGGCGAGGACAATTTTCTTCAGAGTAACCAAAAATCCTAAGATAAATGACAAGTAAATAATAAATACATTGGCTGATATAGTCTCATACAGAAGCTAAGAAAAAGGGTTCATTAGGGATCAGAATTCACATAAATACATTGAATTGAAGTATGTATTTTTGGTTTATTTTTATTTGAATGTTTATTTGATTTTCCTTAATATAAAAGGCTTTCATACTTATAAAAACACTTATTAAAAAATCTTATTAAGCTGCAAGATGTAAAAATTCTTTATCTGTCACTATAACCTTTTCATGTTGAACCTTGACACTGTCCTAAAAACTTTCTAACTTTCCTAGAATTCATAAATTTCGGTTCTTCTTGAGAAATATTTTATAAGCTCAATTTCACAGAAATAGCTGCCTTAAATATTTTTGATAAATGTTATAAATTGTAAGTTTAACTGATAAGGCCTGCTGATTTTTGTATAAAAGCCATCGGGTGTCAGCCAAAGTGACAGAGCTCTAAGTCTCACTTACCGAACTAAAGATGTCATCGAAAATCGCTCTAGCCTTTCTCATTGGCTGCTGCATCCTTCTGGGTCTCGGCCATGCCCAGACCAGGGGCCACACCCAAAATCAACGCGTAAGTGTCGTCTAGAGGGGATCCTGTCATGTGTTGATTTTTATTCGAATTTCTAGAAAGCCTTGAATCATGGCCGTGTGCAACATAAACCCCGAAATGCCCCCGTTGATACTAACCCGGAGATTGAACCAGAAGCGGAAGGCCCAACGAATCCTGATGAAGCCTGTAACTGTCCCGCGGGCCCTCCTGGTCCTCCGGGTCCTCCTGGCCCCCCCGGTCCTCCTGGACCCCCTGGCGGCTCATCTTCTAGCACAGACATTAATACTGACAAAAAGGTTCTTGCCATTAACAGGAAAGATAGGAAAAGACCAAAACATTAAAGGCGTATTCACTTCTTAAAACCGGAAGTACAAGTTTTCATAAAAAAAGGAGAAAACTAATTACGTAATTTACTTGAACTCAATGCATTTTGATACATCAAATAAAGAATCAAATATGTACATATGTACATGTATATAAACCTACACTCATACCATTTTTGTTTAACCTCGCCGTAAAAAAACAGCTTTTCGCCCGTAGATTTAAAAATTTTAGAACATTTTTCTAATTTTTTGAGTGATTTTTTTTAAGGTCATTTTCCTAAAATCTAGAAAAAAAATTTATGAGTATACCGCCTTCATTCTTGGTATGTACCCGCACAAATTTGAAATTGTCAATGCAATTAAAAAAAAAAAAACGAAAGCTTTGGTTAAAATTAAAAAAAAAAACGAAAAAACTAGTATTTTCCAAATATCAGTTTTTTCTTTGCTTTTCACCACTGTGTTTCCATTCTTTAGCGTTTTCTAAATAATAATTTAGCTTTTTTTTCTCCGAAAAAATGTCATCACTGCTCTCGATAAATTGCTGTTTCTTGAAACGGTATTTAGTGGTATTTATTGATTGCTGGTATTTTTTATCGGTTTCGGCACGGTCACACTGATAAGCAGGCCGACGAATTTGGAAAGCAAAAGCTACATAAGTTTATTTTACGAAATAAAAGCGACTCCTTACAATGTCAGCGAAGGGAGCATTGCTGCAGCTGGTTGGCCGACGCCTCGCCCAACGGAAGACACCGGTCACGGCGCTTAGCCTGAGGTAAGTCCGCTTCCCGCTGCGCTTCCTCTTTTCTATGACGTAATGAACGCACGTTTGTCCGGCAGCCGCACGTAATTGTGATTTAAGAGTTGATTACGATTTTTTGTGCTCCACAGTGCCCCCCTTCGCCTGCCCCACCAGCGCCTGTTCAGCACGGAAAAGCAGCCAGAGGAGGCAACGGTCGGAGCGGCAGAACAAAAGACAGCGGCAGCGTCTCCGGAGCTGGAGAAGCTCGGCAAGGACCTGGCTGCCGCCAAGGAGCAGAATGCCGAGCTCCTGGACAAGTACAAGCGGGCGCTGGCTGACAGCGAAAACATGCGCAATCGGCTGAACAAGCAGATCAGCGACGCCAAGATCTTTGGCATCCAGAGCTTCTGCAAGGACCTGCTCGAGGTGGCGGACACCCTGGGCCATGCCACGCAAGCGGTGCCCAAGGATAAGGTGGGAATAAAGAGCAAAATCAACAGCTTAGTTATCTGAGACCATTGCATCTTCAATTTATTTACATATAAACAACCTAATTTATTTGCAATTCTTTACAGCTAAGCGGCAACGCTGACCTGAAGAATTTGTACGAGGGCCTCAGCATGACGCGTGCTTCCCTGCTTCAAGTGTTCAAGCGCCACGGCCTGGAGCCTGTGGACCCCATCAACCAGAAATTCGACCCTAATATGCACGAGGCTCTGTTCCAGAAGGAGGACAAGACCGTCGATGCCAATACCGTGGTGGAAGTCACCAAGCTGGGCTACAAGCTGCACGAACGCTGCATACGTCCCGCCTTGGTGGGCGTCTCCAAATGTTGATAGACCCAGCGACTGCTGCTGCCCAGCGGCTAGCAAAATTCCCCGTAACCATTAAAAAAAGAACCTCCCCCGTTCCCCTCTTTTCTTTACATGGCGTCGCTCTCAAATGTTTGCAATTTGTTTTCCCCGGCAAAATTCATGTACGTTAACCCGTGTAAATACAAAAATCCCACTTAACAAAACGCAGGCCTTGGGCAGCGCTGGCGAATTTAGAATTCCTCCTAGTTTCTAAGAGATCTGTGACTGGATTTGATGGCCACAATTTCTACCATACTCGTGGCCATCAAGTGTTCCATTTTAAGGTTTAAATTACTATAATAAAACATGTGTTAGTTTGTTGAAATACGGTGAGATTTTGTTTGCTTTTCCGCTGTTTCAGACTTACCTCGGTTTCCCTCGATTTTCCACGCTGACTTGGCCAGCAGATACCCGAAACCTGAAACCCTCTTAAAATCCCATTTCTTTTGTCCACAAATACAGGTAGACAAGGGCAAAATCATTCCTGCTCGTCGCACTAGGTGGAAAATTCAATGGAAATGCTAGATTTTCTATGGATCAGCAGGTAGCAAACCGTGAATTCAGGGAAACTGAATTTCGGGATGGGCATGCAACTGGGGTTTAAAATCTATTTGAAAAGGTTCTTCACTCCTCAAGCGTTAGTTGTCCTTTGGCATTCGAAGTGAGCGGAATGATTCGGTTTTTGACACGTCTTCTATGGCCGCTGGCCCTGCTGCAGTGCATCCAGGCATCAGCCGTGGCTCCGAGGCCCATCATCTATGGCCGGGATAATGCCTACTACTTCGGTTTGCCGGTCTACAAACTCATCAAGCCGGGTGTACCTCCTCCCACGACTACGACAACGACAACCACGACGCCTGCTCCCAGCTCAGGTTATCCTAGTGATATTCTGGACATAGCTTACAGAAAACTGGGCCTGAAGAAGCTGCCGAGGATCGAGGATCTTGGCGAATTGATTGGCACAGGAGATGCCATAGAAACCATCGAATACCTGCGAAAACGGACCGGCAGCGATGCTGACATCGCCCTCATGAAACAGTACATGGACACGCTTCATTTTGAAGAAGAGCATGAGGCTGAAGAGGAGGCAGAGGCTGAAGCTGAAGAGGAGGCGGCTGCGGAAGAAGAGAAGCCAGATGACGACAACGACGATGATGATGATAATACCATGGGCAACAGCTTTGATGAGGACCAGCCCAGGGAGAATATTATCCCGACCAAAGCTCCCGAGCCGCAGGGAAGTATGATGCAGCGTTTTAGCAGCTTCTTGAGGCAGTGGACCAGTCGGGCCCCCACTCCATCGCCGACGGTAGTTACTCCTCCCCCTTCTCCTCCTCCGCGCACTGTCTCCTTTCAGCCAGTTTTTGTGGTTCGTCCTCCTACTATGCCCGTGCCAAACAGACGGCCTGTCCTGGTGAGGCAACCAGTGCCTTACCACTATCCCGTGCCTTTCCGACCCGTGACAACGTCGCCACCGCGCGTCGAAAAGCCCACAGAGGTGCCCAGTACCACAGCAGCTCCTAAGCCCCATCTGAACACCCCCAAGGAGCAGGAGTTGTCCGCCAAGGAGCTGGAGGATATCACGATCGATATACCGAACAACCTGTCGCCGCACATCATGCAGTTCGCCAAGTTGGCCAACATCTCGCCGGTAATTGTGGACCGCTTCCTGCAGCGCCAGCCCAAGCTAGCGGCGTTGGCCAAGAAGGTTAGCACGCTGGCACTGAGCCAGGAGCAGACCCAGGAGATGGAGTCCCAGGTGCTGATGGCCGTGCACAAGGCGCTGTCCCAGAGCGAGGAGATGAGCAAGATATTGGAGGCGGCCCAGACACTTAAATAGACTAAATGTATAACTATTAAAGCTTTAAGAATATTTCATTGAAAATAAAACCTGATGTCAATATTAAAAATGGATTTCTCTCGGAGATCGAAGAGGTATTTCTAATATAAAACCCCCAATAATGGAATGGAATCTATAGATTTTAAACTCTATATTTTCTAGAATATAAAAAAAAAGCACGTGGTCAACCTGAAGACATTAAAACTGTGCTAGTACCTCAAAATGCGTAGGTCTCATCTGGAGATTGTCACCAACACATTATTAAATACTACCAAAATATTTCTCTGGCGTTTCGTGCATAACTGAAACCTTGAGTCATCTTGTCGCAGTTTAATGTTTGAAACGCCCAAATTTCATCCGAAATTACATAAACTGTTCGACAATTTAATGAAAATGCCAAGCTAGGGGGTCAGCAAGGCACTTGGTAAGGTTGTCGTTGGTTTTCTATATGTCCATTAAAATAGCACTCATTTGCCCTGGGGAATGGGCAGACGAGCGTGCATAGGACAACACGTGGTTCTTTAAGTTCAGGGAGAGTAGGTATCTGGAAATAAACCGTATGCTTTAAAAATCGAATAAAAAATAAAATGTGCCAAGTGCAGTGTGACCTTAGGCCAAGACAAAAAAGACACCAAAAATCATTGAGATATTAGAATACCAAACTAGTGTTGTAAAGTAACTGGAAATAACCAAATTATAAATTAATATTTTCGCTTAAAAGTATGCTGTATGTTTTGATTTGTTTTAATAGTTTTCATGGGAAACAATTACATGAATGTTAATTTACTGTCTTGCCTAAACCCATTTAGTTAATTTATTTCTGGGCCTGGGTAAGTTCTTGTTCGCCAAATGGTCAAGCTGGCCCATCTGGGCATGGTCATCATGGATTTCGATACAGCCTGACCCAGGCGGATATATTTTACCAAGGACTCGGACATTGTGAATATAACGGCTAACGCACGACCTGCAAGCAAGACACCGTCCTATGTTCTTCTGTGTCCACTCATGTGGCATCAGCCATGCGTTTGAGCTCCCGCTGACGAGTGTCCAAAAAGAGAAGCTGCACGCCTCAGGTGAAAGTTTAAAGCACAGTACTCCCTAAAGTTTTGAACTAGAGATATTAAAACATATTTTGGATCCGATGTACATACATACATACTTAAAGCCAAGTTCTCCCAATAGTTTCAATGGGAGAAATCCAAACCCTTTTCGATCGGTACTTAAAGTTAATGCTTAGAAACTTATCCCTTTTCTACAAAATGTGTGGATATATTTTTAATTTTCTTCCACAAAAAGTACGATTTTTTTTTTTAATTTTGTGAAAAATGAGTTTTATTAAGATCGTTATTATAGTTTATAAGATAATAAACCTTTACTACGCAAAAAAAAAAATATATATATTTTAGTGGGTGCAGGACCTCACTGCTCCATAAGAGAAAGGGATGAGATTATTTAACCTAGAAATGGGGGCAAAACATGTAAAGAAACTCCAAGTCTTTCGAATTGTTCCTTCAAAATGGTTTACAATCCCATAAAATATGAACAGAACCCCAAAAAACCGAAGGACTCGCAAAACCACATAGGCAGAGGATCGACGCATAGTACGCTTCAGTAAAGCTATCCTCTAGAGATATAAAAGCGAAGATTGGCTTCGGTATTAGTCATGTAACTATTCGCCGGGGACTTATTGAAAAAATTTAAATTCGCAAAGTCCATGGCTTGGCTTGGAGTTCGACAAGAGCCACTTGAACTGCCACTATCATAAATGACGTAATATCCTTTGGACAAATTACTCCAAGCCGGCTTTATTTGGTGGAATAGGACAAGACAATATGTCCGTTAACCCTAGGCATACCAGCAAAGTGGCCAATGAGTGGTTTCTTAAAGAAAAAGTGGATGCAATGCCATCAATTTCGATTCTTGGAAATACCAATCAATATATTCTGAGAAATGTCAAAAATCCATTACCATATCAAACCCTCGATCCACTTCGAATAGCTTAAGACATCGGTATAAACATCCGGACCTCGGAGATCGTTATGCCCGAAGCTGGCCATCCCAAAGAGAGTGTATATCAAGGCGTCCCCGTGAGCAAACTTCCTAACAAAGGGACTGATTAATTGGGGATGCCGGAAGCAGATTTGATTTTCCTGAAACGTGGTCGTCTCATTTGAATCACCAGGCATGCAGATCGGTCTAATGTTATCTGTAAGACAGTGATGCTAAGGATTTTTTAAAAACATGATTAAGTTAGTTAAATCTCACCGGAAAACTGCACTTTAACTGCCAACTTGAGCAGGGCAATGTCGTTTTCGGACAGACTCGCGAAATCCGGGTGCCTGATCACGGACTCCACATTGTAGATCATCTCAGTGTGTCCACTGTTCCTGCCCAAGCCCACCTTTGTGTGGATTTAATGAAATCAAATTAATGAATTAAATTAGTAATTGCTTTAAAAGTACTTACAGTGGAACGCCTGCGGGATAAAACTGGGCGGTTGAGATGACAAAACCTGGAAGATAAAAATATAGATACAAATACCAACTGTCGGAACTGAGGGTTCCCAAAGCCAAGGGAAAGGAGTCGATGTAAACATAAGCCAACCATGGAAAGGCGAAAGTCCGTGATTTTCTGCCGCTCAGCGTGATGGTGCTGCTGATGCAATTGTCATCCGGGAAGTTTATCTTTGGTACTACGAGCACGCTGTCGGATTCGAATACGATTTTTTCTATCCATTTGACGTAGCTCATAGCATCCGTGTACACGCAGCTGACTACTTTTCTATCGTTTAAGTCGCCAGCACAGAACTGTGTGGTCGTGTCATTTTTCCAGAAGTTTTCTTTACATTGTCCACTTGTAAGCCTGTCAAGGGTGACGGTCTGGAGCACATCACTTTTTTTCTGGTCCTTGTGTTTCCCCAACCAACGGCCGTTAATTGCATCATGTTATCCAATTCTGGGCCTCGACCACATACATATATGTCTTCTTTGGTGGCATTGTTCTCTGTTGATCGATCGTACTCCCCGCAGGCGAACGATGCTGTTGGAAAAGAGCGATCAAGATGATAAGTATCAATGCCGTCTTTAGCAAGTCAACTGAAAACAGTCCAGAGGGCTGTTCGCGAACTTAAGCCACGTTTAGCTTATCAGTGCTTTGAAATCATTATTTCACGAATATTTTTATTACGTCTACTGAGAGATAAAGATTTCTAAAAATTACTTGAAATCTTTTGTCCATATATAAAATCCATATAAGCATATGCAACTTATGTTCAAGTGCTAGATTGGGTGTTTACATTCGGATTGATAAATTCATTTAATACAAAAACATGTCAGAAAAAACGTTATGATTATCAAGGCTTGATTATTATTTATTATGATGTTATTATTATTTAAGCTTTATGTACATTGGATGCTATCCAGTCGGTGTAACTAGCCACGTCCGTGTAAACAGCAGATAAATTGCAATCCCTGGGGCCATAGCTTATGATGCCCACCTGGACCGTGCGATTCTTGACGATTGACGTCAGCGGTCCACCACCATCGCCGTTGCAGGGTCCACCGCCCGTCTCGCTGTCGGCGCAGAATTGTGTCTTAGTCAACAGGGGCATGTTGTCATGCTGGCACTCCTCCGAAGGCAGACGCCTCAGCTGGATGGTCATCAGATATTGGCTGAGGTTTCCAGTTTCCGTTTTACCCCAGCCAAAGGCAGAAAATCGTTTGATATTTTGCAACACAGGGGCGGCATCCATTAAGATGCAGATGGGTCGAATGCGATCTAAAAGAGGAGATTTTCAACTTTCCCATTTGATATATAAATATAGAAATATATATTTTACCGGTGTAGTCCACTTCAGAGGCGAGTTTAAGCAATCCTATATCATTTACACCTGGATGGGTTTGATAATCACCATGCATTTTGGTGCTGCTTACATTGAAGTCCATCCCATAGGCATCGCTTCTGTCCAACACTCCCAGTTTTACGAACCTTAATCGAAATTGTTTACATTTTTATCTTAATCTTAGTCTGTGTGCTACTTACAATTTCTCCTGATCTTTTATGCAATGCGCGGCTGTCAGCACAAAGTCTGTAAGTGGCGCAAGTTATTTCCAAGTGCTTTTTGTGAGTGAATAAAAACCTTTACTCACTTTTTGTAATCAGCGCGCCGCCGCATAGAAACCCTTGTTCGTTGCTTACTGCGGCCATCCAAGGAGCAGTGGTTGGTCCATCTTCCTCGTCAATCTTCTCGCAGTCCTCATTCAGAAACAGTGCCGATCCTTTGTGCAAGATCAGCAGTTCGAGCAGAGCAAGTGAAAGCAGAAGGCACTTCATTTCGACAGAGAAGACGTCGAGTGATTGTGAAAGCGTCGTATCGGTGGACTTTTAAATAATACATTTATCAGCATAATCTATTTTCTTGATTACATACAATTTCATATTATATTGTTATTATTAAGCCTGATTTCTATAAATCACTGTCAGCTAATGATCTTTCATAATTCTCGGAATCGATAAGCTCCAAAAGTTCTGGGAAATCTAGTTCACTGATGGCATATACACATACACTAGTCGGCACAATTATTTTGACAAAATCTTGGTATGACTATTGAGCATAGCCCTGCTCAAAGTCTTCATATAACGGGGATAAAATTATGCGCAAAATAAAGAAGATAGATTTAGCTCTATGCATGCCAAATTTTATGCATGTTACTGTTAGCGTTCACTTTCTGCTACTTAAAATGCATGCAGACATCGAATTTTAACGCGGCTTAAGTATTTTGACAAACCTATTGAGGACATTTCTCAAAGAACGCTTTATTATTTAATAATTTAATTATTTAAAAATAAAAAAAAAACTAAGATTTGTTAAACTTTATCTAAATTATGTGTAGAAAGGGCGAAATTAATTTGTTTATTAAGTCTTTAATAGTAGTAAAGTTTAACCAAGAAATTTAAGTAGAAGAAATTGCAAATGAGTTCAATGTGTATCGTCAAACTGTTGATTATCAGATTTACAAGTTCAAAAAACATAATGACGCAAAGAACTTGAAAACAACAAGCCCTAAGCGCAAAACAACTCTCAATGAAGACAGAATTTCTCTATGGGAATTAAAGAAAAATATTTTTCTGAAGCCTAATTCCGATGCAAATCAGTGGAATTACACCGCATATGATCTTAAAAGTGAGTGAAAAACAGTAAGAGGAACCAGAGTCCGTCGACGCATAAGGGAACAGGACTTTCAGATATTAAGAGCTAAGGATATGCCACATATTCCAAAGGCAAAAAAGCTTAAGGGGGTCTTCTCATTCAAAACCCGTTTTTTGGACCCTTTTTAAAAAATTCTTATTTGAAAACGCAAAGAATAATTGAAAACTTTTTTTATTTATTGTATTAAAAAATGTTCAAAGTAAATAAAAAAATTGTTTTTGCCTCAATACGAGGGGTTGTTTAAAGAGTAATGAGACTTCAAACTTAGTGGTCGAAAAAAAAAGGTGTCGTCCTGGCGGCCACGATTCAGGGTCTCCAGAGCGTCCGAAATGAAAAAAAACGGGGTTATAATCAGAATAGATCTCATTCTCGGGTGACGGAGGGAAATAATTTAAAATTTTTTTTAACAAAATGGCGGTCATTAAAAAAATTCGATTTTGGGCTTTTTTTTGTAGTTAAGTGTAAAAAAAAATTGAAAAAAAATTTTAAAAAAATCTGTTCCGTCACCCAAGAATGGTGACAATTCTGCGTCGATTCCACTTTGTTTCATGAAAATCGGTTCAGTATTTTGAATTTCTAAAAATCCTTTTTGGGACATATACACAACATCCCAAGCTATAAAAAAATGCAAAAAAAAAAATCGAAAAAAAAAAAATGTTGCCCAATGAGAAGACCCCCTTAAAGGGTGGAAAAAGCTGAAAAAGTTCTGGAGAGATGATTTATAACAAAGTCTTTATATTTAAAAGTACGGAGGCCAAAAAAGTGCCAAAAGTGACCAAAGGTGAGCAATGAAGACGGCTTTGTCACGCTGTACCATAGCTATGCGTTGCCTATAGTGGGCATCTAGACCACTGATTTTTGGTTCCCACTACCGTTTTGATGAACCAAGGATAATATTTTGAGGCTCTGAATGCTTAAGCCTATCCTTTGCTATCTCTGGAAAGAAAGGCTAAACAATTATCATTATTAATTCATCATTATTATTTATTCTGCAACAGGATAATGCTCCATGCCACAAATCCCGCATGGCCACCAGTTGCTTAAAGGATGTTGGCGTTACCATCTTGAACTGGCTGTTCCAAAGTCTAAACTTTAATATTATTAGGATCATCTGGCCTCTTTTAAAACTCAAAATAAAGAATTCGTTGAAAAAAACCCAAAGGGAGATCACATCTGAGGTCATTTTCTTTCGGAAAGATATATCCTTAAAGATCCCTCAAAATTTGGTAAATCTGAGGCCGAGATGACTTAAAAAGTTGTCGAATGGAATGAAGAATACAAACTTTACCAATTACCTCATTATTAAATTTTTTTTTCTTAAACTTCTTTGCTTTTTAGTTTCTAAGTATTTGTCAAAATACTTAAGCCGCGTTAAAATTCGATGTCTGCATGCATTTTAAGTAGCAAAAAGTGAACGCTAACAGTAACATGCATAAAATTTGGCATGCATAGAGCTAAATATATCTTCTTTATTTTGCGCATAATTTTATCCCCGTTATATGAAGACTTTGAGCAGGGCTATGCTCAATAGTCATACCAAGATTTTGTCAAAATAATTGTGCAACGTATATTCAGATGCTGGATCAAGTGACTAAGCTCTGATTGATAAATTCCTTTATTATGCGAAAAATATCAAAAATTATTAGATTATAATCTTCTTGATGCTTGTGATTATTATTTAATATCGTACAATGGAAGCTATCCAGCGGGTGTAGCTCGTCACGTCTGTGTAAACAGCAGGAAGACTGCGATCCAAAGGACCATAGCTTGTGATGCCCACCTGGACCGGGCGATTCTTGATTATGACGGCTAGGGGTCCTCCACCATCGCCTTTGCCGGGTCCACCGCCCACCTCGCTGTCGGCGCAGAATTGCGCGTTAGTTAACTGGGGCATGTGGTCCTGGCACTTCTCCGAAGGGAGACGCCTCAACTGGTAGGTGGTCAGTACTGGGCTGAGGTCTCTGGCCATTGTTTTACCCCAGCCAAAGGCTAAAACTTTGTTGATTTTCTGCAGCACAGACGCGGCATCAGTTAATATGCAGATGGGTCGAATGTTATCTGAAAGCAAGGCGATTTTTATAAAATATTTATATATCTAAATATAATTTATACATTTATTTATCTAAATATGATGCTTACCGGTGTAGTTTACTTCACCGTCGAGTTTCAGTAGTCCTATATCATTCGGACCTACCCACCCTGGATAACCACGATGGATTATGACGCTGTCCACATTGAAGTGCCTTTCCCCCAGTTGGACAAACCTTAATGGAAAATGTTAAAGCTTTGATCTCAATCCCAAAATGTGTGATACTTACATGGGCGCCTTCTGATTATATAAGCAATGCGCGGCAGTGAGCACATAGTCTGAAGGGGCACAAGTTGTTTCAAAATGTTGTCTATGTAAAAATAAAACTTACTCACTTTTGGTAATCAGCGCGCCACCGCATTTAAGGCCATTTTCGTTATTTACTGCGGCCATCCAGGGAGTATTGGTTAGTATGTTTTCGCCGTCGGTCCAGGCGCAGTTCTTGTCCAGTAACAGTGCCGATCCTTTGTGCCAGAGCAGCAGCTCGAGCAGAGCAAGTGAAAGCAGAAGGCACTTCATTTCCGCAGAGAAGACGTCGAGTGATTGTAATAGCGGCGTATCCGTTAGCCTTTAAATACAGAATTCGACTGGCAAATTTTTATTTTAAGAAATAACAAGACTGATTTCTAGGAATTATGGTCAGCTAAAGGTCATTTATAATTCTCGGAATCCATAAGCTCCAAGAGTTCTGTAAAATCTAGTTTACTGATGGCATATGTATGTACATATATGCAACGTATATTCAGATGCTGGATCAAGTGACTAAGCTCTGATTGATAAATTCCTTTATTGTGCGAAAAATATCAAAAATTATTGGAATTTAATCTTCTTGATGCTTGTGATTATTATTTAATATCGTACAATTGAAGCTATCCAGCGGGTGTAGCTCGTCACGTCTGTGTACACCGCAGGACCATTGCAACTTTTAGGGCCATAGCTTGTGATGCCCACCTGGACTGGGCGATTATTTATGATGACGGCTAGGGGTCCTCCAGCATCGCCATTGCAGCTTCCGTCGCCCACCTCGCTGTCGGCGCAGAATTGCTTGTTAGTCAACGGAAGCATGTCGCTTTGGCACTTCTCCGAAGGGAGACGCCTTAACTGGTGGGTGGTCAGTACTGGGCTATCGTCTCCGGCCTTCGGTTTGCGCCAGCCAAAGGCAGAAAATCGATTAATGTTTTGCAACACAGAGGCGGCATCCATTAAGATGCAGATGGGTCGAATGTGATCTAAAATTAAGGCGATATTTATACATTTAAAAATAAAAAACATAAATATAATTTATATATTTATTTATCTAATATTATGCTTACCGGTGCTGTAGTTTACTTCACCGTCGAGTTTTAGCAATCCAATATCATTCGGACCGGGCTGCATTCCATAACCACGATGCATTATACCGCGGCTCACATTGAAGTGCCTTTCCCCCAGTTGAACAAACCTTAATGGAAAATGTTAAAACTTTCATCTCAACCCTAAAATGTGTGATACTTACATAGGCCCCCTCTGACCATATATACATTGCGCGGCAGTGAGCACATAGTCTGAAAGGGGGCACAAGTTATTTCATAATTTCATAATTTCTTTAATCTAAAATCTCTTACTCACTTTTGGAAATCAGCGTGCCGGCGCAAGTAAAAAAACTGCTTCTTACTACTGCTATCCAATGAGTATTGGTTGGTACGACTTCGTCGTCGGTCCAGGCGCAGTTCTTGTCCAGTAACAGTGCCGATCCTTTGTGCCAGAGCAGCAGTTCGAGCAGAGCAAGTGAAAGCAGAAGGCACTTCATTTCGACTGAGAAGACGTCGAGTGATTGTGAAAGTGTCGTATCGGTGGGCCTTTAAATAATAAATTTGCAGCATAATCTATTTTCTTAATTCCAAAGAAATTTATTATTATATTATAATTATTAAGCCCGATTTCCAGGAATCATGGTCAGCTAAAGATCATTCAAAATTCTTGGAATCGATAAGCTCCAAGAGTTCTCGAAAATTAAGTTCACTGATGGCATATGTATGTACAGCTGTGTTCACTGAAATAAAAGTGCGACAGAGGAACAACTTTAAAACCTTTTTTTTTTTGGCATATTCCATTTTGTTAGTTGATATATTGCACATTGTTTTTGTAAAATGGAACATAAAGATAAGAATCGAGAAAAAATTCCGTTAGATTTGCTCTATTTTTATGTTTCATAGATATTTTTTCACACATGCAGCTCGTTTTGGCTGTTCAATGAAATAGCAGTTTTTAATTTTCTACCACTAAAAGTGCCGGATTTTTTTTTTTAATTTTTGCGAAAAATTAGTTTAATTAAGGTCGTTATTATAGTTTATACGATAATACACCTTTACAACGCTGATGTGATTCTTTAGCCTAGAAAGAAGGGCAAACATGTAAAGAAACTCCCAGTCTTTCGAATTGTTCTTTTAAAAGAGTTTATAATCCCATAAAATATGAACCGAACCCAATGAAACCAAGGTGGGACTCGCAAAACCCCAATTGTAGAGGCTCGACGCGTACTTCGCTTCAGCAAAACTAGTCTTTTTGCATCCTCTAGGTTTATAAAAGCGGGAATTGGCATGGGATCCAGTCATGTGACCATCCGCCGGGGACTTATTGAAAAAATTTCAATTCGCAAAGTCCATGGAAGGTGTCTTTGCTTGGCATATCAAGGCCAGATTGGAGTTTGACAAGAGCCACTTGAACTGCCCATATTTAAATGGCGTAATATCCGTTGGACAAATGACTTGAAACTGGTTTTATTTGGTGGAATAGGACAAGAAAATATGTCCGTCGACCTCCAAATACATAGAACCACCCAAATCATACGCTATAGACAGTAAAACACGGTGGCATAAAAATCATGGTAGGTAGGTCCCATACATATCATACACCAATATGTATATATATCTTTTAAAAGGTTTATGTTACCTAAATGAAATGATTGTGGTATTGTTAATAGTTAAATACACTAAGCCTTTATGAAAAGATTTTTTAATGAAAATAGTGTTTGTAACAATATTTTCCAATCTTAAACGTGCAAGTCGTGGGCACTGCTATTTCCGCGAACACAGCTGTATGTAATTTGTCAAAAGTATTTATCCACGTTTTACTTACGTCAAGAATAAGAAAAATAACTAGGGAACGTAATAATTATACGTGAAAAAATAGTTCTGGTAAATTTATAGCAGCTTCCTATTGTGCTAAGTTTAAAAATCACAACTGGTTGCTTAGACCAACGAGCAAGCTCAGCCTTGGCAACAAAATGTTGCTGTTTAAGTCAATTGTTGTACCTTCGATGACTTTAGTAAGGCCTCCAATTGAGAGCATGGTTTCTGACTCGAACTTCATGAATTGGTAATGCCCCTTGGTACCTCAGTAAAATTGATATATGTGCAAATTTTGTTTTCTATATAACTGTCGTTTTAATAGCGATAGTTTTTTTTTAAGTACACACCATTTTTCCCTTATATATGCTAATATTGCTGCATACATTGGGTTTTTATTAGCTCCCAATTTGTAGTACCATTAGCGTAAAAAAGAACACGAAGAACTACTTTTAATAGAAAGTTGATAAATGTGCAATATGCTTCATTTACGTTTGGAGGGCGACCCGGTCATATTCTAATGGAACAAAGTGATTAAATTTGTGATTTTATTCACTAAAAATTAATTATATTTTATATTGGGCTATTTTTAAAAGAGCTGGGTTAAAAAAACGATACTCCATGATTAAAATCCCACGGAGAACCGAATTAACGGATGAAGAGCAGATTAGAGAAAAAACTATGGCCGAATGTGGCGTCAAAGTGAGTGTTATTGCTACAACAATTAATAGGCAACGGAATACAATAACAAGTTTCCTAAAGTCATCGCAAAATTAAGCTCAGAACGACGGCAAAGTTGCAGTTCCTAAGGTTGATGGCAGGACTTAGCGACACATTAGAGCTTGGCAACTGTAAAAAGTATGAGTTACGCCCAAATTAAAAAAGAATTGAAGTTGCCAATAACTAGACAAAGGGTGCAACAAGTCTGCAAAAGGGACTCGAACCTCAGACTTGAAGCAAAGGTGCTAAAACCTAAGCTATTGCGACGCCATAAAATGGCTCGACTTGACTATATGAAAAATATTAATTTTGGGACAGCTAATTTCGTAATCTCATATTTAGTGATGAAAAAAAATTGAATTTAGACGGGCCTGATGTAAATCAAAAATATTGGCGAGACCCTAGGCATCCCCAGCTAACTTGCCACAGACGCAACCACGGTGGTGGATCTCTAATGGTTTGGGCAGTTTTTAACTTCTTTGGTAAATCTCCCATATGCTTTGTGCCTGTTCTAATGAAAGTGAGCTGGTACCCCTTTCGCAAGAGTTCCATCCCGAGAATATTGTTTTTCAACAGGATACCGCTCCCATACACGTTCACGGTTTCTGGAATCCAAACAAAAATTTCCTTGACGCAGTGGCCAGCTATAAGTCCGGACTTAAGTCCGATTGAGGATCTTTGGGGCACCCTCTCACATAAAGTTTTCGGAGGCGGAAGGCAATTTGAGAGCCTAAAAGACTTAAAGGAGGCAATAGTAAAGGAATGGGCAAATATTGATATAACCGTCCTCCAAAACTTGGTTAATTCAATGCCGAAGCAGTTGAAATTATTGGAGCAGATAAAAGGAGACACTATTTCATATTAAAAACACATTTAATCAATATTACAAATTTATATAATTCTATTTTTGTCAATAACTCATTTTTGCACATATATCAATTTTCTATGAAGAATACTTTTAAATTATTATCTTAATAAGAAACAATGAATTATTAAATATTTTCTAAGCTGATTCATTTTGTACATCTACTATCTATATAAATAAAATAAATTTAAAAGTGTCACATAAAGGAGTTACAAAAAAATTAAGAAAAACACGATGCACATATATCAATTTTACTGAGGTACATTAGAAACAATGCCTTGGCAAGTAGGGATGTCGAAAATATATCAAAATATCAATATATCGATATTTTTTGCGAAAAAATAAATATTTTTATCGTGATATTTTTTTTGAAAAATTATCATATTTTATCGATATTTTTTTGAGATATTTTTTGATGTTTAAGGCGGTTACACTTTTTATCGGGACAAGGAAAGAAAACATGTTTTTGTTATCTTTCATATAAGATACTGTTAAAGCCTTAGTTCGGCGGAAAAAATGAAACTGAACCTAAAACAAGAAAGGAAGCTAACTTCGGCACGCCGAAGTTTGTATAGTTCATTACATTTTACCTACACTTATTATGTTTACTGTTTGACAGTTACAGTTTTGCATTCCCAGCTTTACATTTTCTCTACGTCTACTGATCGTTTCTATGGCAGATATATGGCAGTTGTCCGATTTTCATAAAATGTATACCAAAATTCTGAAATAATAAAATAAGCCTATATCTCAGAGTAGATGAAAAAACGTTGAAAAACAACTAAGTTGTTTTCATAAAACATACCAAAATTCTGAAATATTATAAAATGGACATATTTAAAAAATGATGCAAAAATGTTGAAAAACAGTCAGGTTAGAATTTTTTTCTAAAAATTTATCGAACATTTGTATGGGAGCTATATGATATAGTCGTCCGATCCGGCCCGTTTCGAGTATATAGAAGACTTTATGCGGAGTTTCATTCAGATAGCTTTTAAACTGAGGGACTAGTTTGCGTAGAAACGGACAGACGGACGGACAGACGGACATTGCTCGATCGACTCGGCTGTTGATGCTGATCAAGAATATATATACTTTATAGGGTCGGAAAGGTCTCCTTTCTTGCGTTGGAAAACTTCTGACTGAAATTATAATACCCTGCAAGGGTATAATGAAAACGTTTGCTTTATTATTATTTAAGCATGTTTTTATTATCTTTCATATAAGATAAATTTTTGTTCTGATTTGATTTTAATATAAATAAAAGCAAAAGAAAGTAAAAATAAATATAGTTTTCTTTCATTTTAATATAAATAAAAGCAAAAGAAAGTAAAAATAAATATAGTTTTCTTTCATTTAGTAATAAATATAAAATAAAAATCTAAAAATATAATTTAAGATCGTATGTGAGTTAATGTTTAGTGGTTATTGAAATTTAAAAAAAATAATAATAAAACAAAAATATCAAAAATATTTGATAAATCGATATTTTTTTTTGATATATCAAATATCATTTTGATATTTAAAAAAAAAAAAAAATCATCGATACGATATTTTTAAATATTTCGACAACCCTATTGGCAAGTTACCTCCACATTCACTCTATCATGGAGCGGGAGCAGATCAACCGGCACTCGAGTCGGTATAACGAACGTCTCACAGCTCACACCAATCGTCTAGCGACTTCCTTGACCAACACGACGATCAGAAGAAGGCTCAAATGAAGACATCCCGCCGATCTCTGGACAAGAGGAAGACATATTTCTCGAGTCTTAAAGCAGTTAACTAGTATTTTAGACTAAAGACATCAAAACGAGAAAACGACAGCGATCATCCAAAAATTTCCCTAGAATAATTGCCTTGTGTAAATACTTATGAGGCAAAAATAAACGTGTGTAAATACTTTTGACAATTTACATGCTTCTGCTCTTTTGCTTATATCCTTGTCCCAAGTACCGTTATCTTTCGCAATCCATTTTGGGCAGTTTCTGCATAAATCAAGCTACGCGATGAAAACTATTTTAGGGAAATTTATGAAAAAAAAAGAATAATAACTAAAGGAAGTTGGAATGTGCAACAATTGGTTTGTTATTAATACTTTTGACTATGTACATATGTATCTAAGTATGTAGCAAGC